ACTGTTGTCTCCGTCCTGTACAAAGTGTTGTCGTTTCGAGTTTGCTGTCTTGTTCGAAATTCACGCAACATCTTGATTGGTTTATTGCTGTTTGGGGTCTTCGCTGGTGTAATTTATTCGGCGCTTGTTTAGACGACTTATCCACTCATTCATCTATGTATTGATTCATTCTACACATACATACACGATCGCACCCTGGCATGTGGCCACGCGTGCTTCACATGCACGGGCATGTGTGTTTGTGTACATGCATATATGTATGTAGGCATGCATGGACCGATGGATTCAGAGAGCGAGCCGAGCGGGAGAGAGAGATTGAGAAACAAAAACAAGGTGACACTACAAGCCGATGCCTCCGGTCAGACGATGCGACCGACGCTTTCGCGATGTCGCTTTGAACAATCCAAAACGCGTCCATCGAGTGCTTTCTGTTCAGGAGCAGTGCTTCTGTGGTGTGCGTGTCGGGTTTTGGGTTCGGTTGAGGGCGGAGTCAACCGCCAGCGGGGGATTTGTGTGGGGTTCACGCCTGCATGCCAAACGCTCCTACAAACCCATGTTCAACGTGAAGCTGAATCCCTGAACTCTCTGATTCCAGGTCTTGACCTGACATCTCGGGAGCGGCAACCGAATCCTTGCAAGAGGCGTTCCACGTCAGAAACGGATCTTGAACTGGAGATATCGGCAAGCCGTCGTTGCACAATGCTCAATACACCACAAAGCTCAAAAGACATGTAGAGGTTGCAAATCCTCAACCCCGGAGCAACGACAGATGGTCAATTTGACATGCCCAAACGACTTCTGAGAAATCATGCCAAGAAACTTGCAGCTCCTTCAAAACATAATGCGCCGACAACAGCAAGTCACAGGTGTAGAAAAGCTCAGAGCGTACGCGCTTGTGGTCGGCCGGATGCATGACAGGAACAGTGGCGCACCACTACGCAACACAAACCCACCGCAAGGCGGTCTAGAGGCACTATGACCCGCCAAACCAGTGGCGAGCTCGGCAATTCAGTTCATGCTGTACTGACTTGTAATGCAACCAGCATTACAAGAACGACAAACATATATGGCTTCTGTCCTACCTAGAATCTCATGCTTCAAGCGCCAGGTCTAGGCACATCCTGTGGAAACTCTGACAGTGACTGAGCTTTTTGCCAAGGCCGTCGCAAGCAAAGTTGCACGTGAGTGAGCCTGTTCGGCTTCCCAGCTACCATCCATCGCGACCAGCCGTTGCTTTCACTTTGTCCGCTTCCTTCCGAGGCATGCAAACCAGCACAGAGAGGTTGCATAGATACGCCGTGCTCAAGTGCACACACACACACACGCACATCAGAACCAAAACTTGCATGTGGATCTTAGGGCTAAGTGCTCCGGGGTGCATTGTAGATCAAGTTGTCAGTTCATTCAGGGGTACCGCAACTCCTTTGCTCGTAGAGAACATCTGCGGAACTGCCAATGCAAAGACCCTCAACAAGCATCAAAAACAATGCCTGGAAAGACAACATCTTGATGCGCTGCTCCGGGAAGCGTGACGACGGCAAAGGGCTACTCATCTTTAAAAACAAACTGTCTCGGTTGCCGTTTTTAAATAGGCCAGCTCGGTTCTCCGGTGCCGGGTAAACCTACGGTTGATGATATAAATCCTGCATGACTCATAATAAGAAGTAGATCATATTTCCCATAGTTTAGGATCCTTAAGGTAATGCAGGATTTAGATCATCAACAGTATGGCCCTCAACTCCATGCTGCTCATGAAGCAACATTTTGCTGCAGCATGTGACGTGGTCTCGACCGACGTTTGCATCATATGCAAACCTGACACCGACCCTGCATCCAGGCCAGGCGGAAACTAAAGAACCAAATCCGTGGAAGGGAAAAGACCACAAACACACACACACACACAAAAACCAAAAAAAACCTGCATGACATGTTCACCACATAAACGACGACATGGAGTCCTTGTTCCGCGCACGAGGTGCAAAGGCAGAGCCCGACCTCCAGCAGTGGCTTTCATGTTCATTGCAAGGATGAGGGGGTTTCCGAAAATAGTGGACCCTAATGTAGTACCCTAAATATTATAAAGGACCCCAAAATAAGGTACCCCCTATTTTCTACCCCTTATTTTCGGAAAGTCCCATGAGGGAAGCAGCTGCAGGCACGCGCAAAAACGCATGTGCAGGTAAGACATGTCACCCGGTGTCTGCAAGGCTCATTGTAACATCCTCCTATATTTTGATATTGGGGCCGAAGCAACTACCAATGCCATTTTGTGGTGCCTTATGAAAATTATAGATACCCTCCCAGATACTCTAAACCCTAAACCCTAACCCCTAAACGCTAAACCCTGATCCCTAACCCCTAAACGCTAAGCCCTGATGCCTAACCCCTAAACCCTACGCTTCGTCTCCGGTTGCTCTTTGTCAGGGCAGCTCGAGGCTCAAAATCAGGTTTCGCCGATCCCCAGCCAGCAGAGCTGGAAAAGCCTGGGGTAGCAAAGTATGATACAGTATAGTATAGTACGTATCGTATATTAGAATATACAGTATAGTATAGTACAGCACAGTATCGTATAGTATATTATAGTATAGTATAGCATTAGTATAGTATAGTACACTATAGTACAATACGATGTGGTATAGTATAATACGATATAATGGAACAGTATAATATAGTGTAGTGTAGTATAGTTGAGTGTAGTATAATATAGTATAGTATAAAATAGCATAGTCGCATCTCCTGCTGCTGACGCTGTTGCTTGAACCCTTGATCACTAGCTGCTCGGTTGGGCGGAACCAGCTTTGCGAAATTTTGGGGATCCCCTTTGCTTTCACTGCTATGCTTGGACGATTCGAAATTCAGAGATGGATGGCATGGAACCCTAAACCCTAAACCCTAAAGCCTACCCTAACCCCTAAACCCTACCCTAAACCCCTAAAGCCCTAAACTTTGGGGTTTCGGGTTCCGGGAGATCTTGAGCTGGCCGGCTGCAGTGGATTGGACAGCTGGATTCTGTTACAAGTACCCAAACTTTCAGAAAAGCCCATGGTACTTGTATGGGTAGTTTTCTATACTAGGGTCCCTTTTGGGGGTCCTTTTACTATATTAGGGACCCAAAAAGGGACCCCAATCTAGAGAACTACCCGTATGAACCAAAAAATCTAACCCTAAACGCTAAACCCGAGGGCCTTTGGCGGCTCTTCAATTCGGAGATCCCGATCTCAACATTGCGGATCGGGCTTCTTGCGGTCCCGCACTTGTCTGAAACTCCGAAGACGTGATGATGTAGTACAGTATAAGAGAAAGAGTATAGTATAGTATAATGGAACAGTGTCTGTGGCAGTGGCTGCATCCAGCGAGCACATTGCGGTCGTAGCGATCTGCCACGCTCCGCTTGCCTGTTCAGAACGCCGAAGCGAGCACTCAAAGTAAGCACGTACACAACTACGCACAAGCCGGGTGCACGCTTTCGGTTGCCAAACAGCTCCTCCACACCGGTGCAAACGCAAGAACTTTCAAAACTTAATCTGATACTGAAAGCCGTCCTTCTGCAAGAAGTCTGCTGCATGTCCGGTGCGATCATGCGCCTGACATTATTTCAGTTGTCACCTGCGGCACGTGCAAAGCTAGCAACAACGAGATCCTGCCTGAGCGGCGTCACTTCGCAGAGTTACACCATGTTTCTCCATCCTTCACGGCAGTTCAGAGCACAAAGGAACCCATGGGATTGTTTACAGCTGCAAGGCACTCTTGCTTGCCAGCTACCCGTCTGTTGCTAGGTCTGCGTGCTGAATCGTCATCAAGGCACTGCGTTGTACCAGCATGCCGCTTTCGCTTTTCTTGGTCTTCGATCTTCAAAGCTTGAAGAAGCTCCTGGAACAACTGAAGAGTCTGCCAGCCACTTGAATGTCATGTTCGCGCACATCAGGCTCGCATCTTCCTTCATGGCATACAATCTCCTGCAGCCTACACTTGTCTGCACAGCCCTTGTCTGCACGGCCGCCCTTGAAGCAGGCCTGGTTTTCAGGATCTTGCCACAAGTATTTCAACTGCTTGGTGCCACCACCTCCAGAAAATGTCAGGGCCGAAGCACTAGGCTAGCAACGCGCAGGTGCAGCTGCAAAACGACAATCCATGCCTTGCTTCTTACGTCTTCGGGCTTTGCCAACAGGAACACTTTCCTGCCAAGCTGAGCCCAGAAAAAAGCACAGCCTGCCGCATGAACATAATCGCATGCAGCATGGGCAGCTGTCCTTGCTGGGCAGGGAATCTGCCGCAGTCTCCTACACAGTTTCAATGACAACAGCTGGCCCCAAGCCAAAATCCTAAATCCAAATCCCCTCAAACCCTACCTATAGTCTCCATGGTAGTTCCTTTTTTGGTTAACCATCTTTCATATTGTAGGAGCCTAACCTTACAACTAGTTAGCCCAAAAAAAAGGAACTACAATGGAGACCATAGGTAGAACCCAAAAAGCACGAGAAGTGACCTCCACTTCTGGATCCTCCTGCGCTGGATCTGAGCCTCGGCCGGTGGTGACCTCTGGCGAGTGCCAAGTTGACAGACGATGCTGCGCTATACGGTTTAGGGTTTAGGGTTTCGGGTTTAGGGTTTAGGTCTTTTGTCTTGAGGGCCTTTTTCCGTCTTGCAAGAAGTCGGAGAGCCTGGTTAGGGTTTAGGGTTTCGGGTACTGGAATACTGGACTCGACTATAGCCTACCTACCCTACCATACCACGCGCTGCGATGCAGGTGCTGTCAGCAAATCCTGTGTGATCTCTGCCTCCTCAGGAGGACCATCCTCGTCATCCTCGTCAGCGACCTGGCCCAATACATCTGCACACTGAACCTTGACAAGCTCAAGGGTTTAGGGCTTTCAGGGCTCAAACACAGATGCAGCTCGGCCTTGCCCAGACGTGAAACGTCGAAAGCCTCGTCGGCACCACATGACGTTCGGATCGCATAGTGCAGTATAGCAAGGCAGAGTATTGAATGATACGGTGTGATGCAATATCACGCAGTACTTGGAGGTTCATGGGTAGTTATAAGTGGGGTTATAAGTCCCCTAATATGGGTTATAACTATAGTTACCGTACTTATAACCCCACTTATAACAACCCATGAACCTCCAAATAGGATACGTCCCTCCCCTGTTCACGACGAAAGTGCCAGCCTGCGGCAAGTGATCCTTGACCTTCCCTGCCAGCAGCCCCGCCTTGAAAGGATTTGTGTTTTTTTTTTTTTTTGGGGG